ATTTTATTTGTTGACAGACTAGATAGAATTAAAAAATTTCATGTAAAAGTTGCCGGGACTAGACTAGATGCACCATAGCAATAATAATATCGAATATGACAATAATAACAGCAATGATAATTTTTGAATACCACCAATTAAAAATTTTAGATAAGGCATTAGATGATCTGATAGAGGTTGTAAAAAAAGTTCCATCATCAAAGTTGCTGTTATCATTGTCGTTATATAATTTTTTTCGATTGGTTTGGTCACGTGAATCTACACCCCCATCTTTCCTTAAAAGGAAAGATCACTGGTGGCCAAATTTCATTTTTAATATATAGTAAAATCGTGAAACTTCAAACCACTAAGGCTTTTTTTATTATTAATAATATTGAAAAAAGCTCTCTATTACATTGTTCCTTAAGTCCATTAGATTGCAAAAATAGAGAGTTTTTCCACTTCCAAATATAGTTATTGAGCCTTAACATTTTAAAGGTTGCCTATTTTTTTTTTATGTCTTTAGATGATCTGCACTGTACACTTATTGTACTTAACTTTTAAGCATTTACTATATTATTTTGAAATTTTGTCCATGTAATTTTAAAATTCTAAATAAATTAATAACCCTATAAATAACTATAAATCAGTCCCTTATAATTAAAAGCAAACACAACCTTCCAAGTGGTTGTAAGCGACTTTGTAGGGATCACTTTGGCATAATTGTTGCTGCTGAATTTGCTTTTAGCCTGCATACTAGTTGAGCGATAATCTTAAAATAAGTGTGAAGAAAAGAAACACTTCTGACCTGGCGTAGAATAACCAATATCTAAGCTGACCTTTCTTTAATTGTTGTTAAAAGGTTATAAAATTTTTATTATGGTTGAAAATCGCGAAAAACGGAGATTTTTTTTTAATGACACTTGATTAAATCCTTGTGGATCACGAATTAATAATATTTAATAAAATGTCTTCCGGTAGTATTAAATAAATATTACAATGTTAGAATTTCTTTATAGTAAATTCAAAAGCAAAAATCCTTAAGTAGCAAGAGTTTAGACCAAAGTCAAACTATCATTTAATCCTAACATTGTAATAAATAAATAATAGTAATTAGTTGAATACAAATATTAAATTTTTTTAAATTTTTTTAATGTTTAGGATTAAAAGATTATCTTAATTTTGCAGTTTCACTTGCTCGAGAAAGTGGCAAAATTATTTTGGAAGCTTCGAAAGCACGTTACTCAACACAAAGTAAAGTTTACTCTAAAGCAGGAAATTCGGCAGATTTGGTAACAGAAACAGATAGACAAGTTGAAGACTTCATAAAGTCAAGGATTAATAAAACTTTTCCTGAACACAAGTCAATCAATCAATTGTTGTAAAAATGGTTTTTATTTATCTTTAATTATTAAAATTATCTTTAATTAAAAGATTCATTGCTGAAGAAATGACTTCAACAAACAATAAATACGAATTCACGAGCAAACCAACTTGGATCATTGATCCTATAGGTAGGCAGTATTTTATAACTTTAATATTGAATTAAAAATTGTATTATTTAATACTTTAATGTCATCTATTTAAAAGAGTATTAATTACATTGGTGAATTTTCTTTATTTTAATTTTTTAGATGGAACCACAAACTTTGTTCATGGGTAAATGCTCCAACACTATAAATATAAATGTGAATTAATAATTTAAAAAAATTTTTTTTTATTAGATTCCCATTTGTTGCAGTATCAATTGGTTTAACAATCAACAAAGAACCTGTTGTTGGCGTTGTGTTTAACCCATTTCTTAATGAAGTGAATAAAAATTTTTTTGCTTATAATTTTAATTTTAGATGCACAAATATTAATTTATGTCTATGCTTATTTTTTAGCTTTACACTGCAAGTAAAGGTTAAGGAGCTTATCTTAATCTCAACACAAAATTACCTTTAACTTATTCATATCTACCATTACCATTACCCTCAAGTTTGTCTCAATGTTTAGTGGCTACCGAATATGGGAATGATTGATTACCAATAACTATTAGTAAAAAAATTCAATCTGTATATAATTTATTGTCAAAACCAGGTGATGCTGCTACTTTGAATTCTAAAAAAGGTGGATTGGTTCGAAGTATTAGAAGTCTTGAGTGTGCATCACTTAATATTTGCACAGTTGCTAAAGGACATTTTGATGTTTATTGGGAAATTGGATGTTGGGAATGGTAATATTTACATTTATATGACATAATAAATTAAATAGACTGTTATAATATTATTATTTAAATTTTAATTATTATTTAAAGGGATGTGCAGCTAGTATTGTGATTCTTCAAGAAGCTGGTGGTATTATGGTGAATGGACAAGGTCCAGATGAAGGTCCAGATAATATACTTGGGCATAAATTTTTAGCAATTAGAGGTGGTTTACCTTGTTCGAGTGATGAAAATTCAAGACAAAGTCAAATACATCTTGTTAGAGAAATGTGGGGTTTAGTTGAAGAAATTGATTGTCCAAGATATTGACCAAAAAGTAAATAATTTTTTAATGTTCATTATTTTTAAAGATGTATATATTAAAGTTATTGTTATAACAAGCAATCAATAATATAAAATCATTTATTTGAATTATATAATGTCGCCATATTCATTCCTTTTGATATTTTTATTTCTGGTTTTATTAAATTCTTCAGTTGTTCTTGGAAAATAATGTTGATTTTTTTTCACATTATCATTACTATCATAATCATAATTGTTATTGTTATTATCATCTTTGTATGTATATGATTTTTGAAAACTTGAAAATAAGTTATCATTATTAAGATTTTCTGTTGTATTATTATTTATATTCTGTTTATGTTTTGCTTTCTGTTGTTCTAATTTAACCTTTTCACGAATTCTATCCCATGAAGATAGTGGTTTTGAATTCGTGGACTCAGTTTTATTCCAATCATTATTTTCTTGATGATTATGATCTTTTGATGATGATGATGATGACGAATGATCTAAATAGGCGAAATAAATTAGGACATTAAAAAAATAAATGCATGTTGCTAGTTTAAACATACCAATTTCAGCATAACTTCCTGATAAAGTGGTATTTAAAATGTCAGGTTGATTATATTTATCATCGTTACCATCATTAGTAGCTTGATCTGTCTTTTCCTTTTCTAATTTGATCTTGCTATGTCGTGGTAATTTCATCTTTAACATTTCTTGGCTACAAATTTTTAAGAATTAAAATTACTTTTGGTGAAAAAAAAAAATGAAGAAATTATAGATAAACTGAACTGTAAATCTCTTATTATCGTATAAACATTCTGTTTATTTGGTAATGTTTGTATAGTTCTATAACCTACAACCGTTCCATTGACACTTCCAATAGTAGACCCAATCAGCGTAGTTACTGTTTAATTATCATTTTATTAAAGACATAGACCTAATAAATTTGTTTGACCCACTAGAGAAGGGAGATAGAAAAGAAAAATTGTCTCATGATATTTACCAAAACATGTTAATATCGTTGCACCAGGCCTGAATTTTTTTATGCGAGCTTTTTTTTAATTTAAATATGATTAGAAGAAAAAATTTTAAAGGATTTAAAATGATTTTGTTTACTTATAAAAAAAAGATATATATATATATATATACCAGCTATACCACCAGCAACAAAACCAACAAATGACCCAATTTTTACTAAATTACAAAAGTTAAAACAACAGATTTCTTCAAGAAAAAAAAAAAGGTAAATATATAAAACGCACATACAATGTTTATTATATAATTTACTAGCCTCCAACAAAGTATCGTATTCTTGTTTTGATAACTTGTATACTTTTGTTGCATTTGGAAGTTCGTCACCAAATGGATTATGATAAATTGCCATATCTTTTTTTAACTTTTAAATTTTTTTATGAAATTTTATAATTTTACACATTATGACATCATAATGATGATGCGTATTGTGGACCTCAATGGTTACGCACACAAACGATAAATTTGGTATCATATTTGAAAATTTATTAATAATCCCTGAACAAATAAATAAAATATTAATATTAATGTTCTGTGAGAAAGATATTCGTTGTGTGAAAAACAACAATCAAGTCTTTTTATACAAAGAAAATAAAATTGATTATTAACAAAAGGAAAAAGAAATTTAAATTGGTGCAACTTTATTCTAACAACAATTAATAGTGATAATTTGTGAAACAAATCAAAGTTATATAACTCGAAAGATTTTTTATTTTTAATGAGAAAGAATTAATTCAATTGAAGACAAAAAAGGGAGGAAATTTTGAATATTTTTTAAAGAAACTTTTAAAGAAATTTTTTGTGTTTAACAAAAAGAAAAAAAGGAATAATTAAAGTTATTTATGTCTAGAGACGCGTTAATGTTTATCAATAGGAGAAAAAATTTTGTTAGAATGAAATAAATTCCGTATGATAAATTGATTTAGTATGTGATAAAATTTTTATTATATTGAAATTTATTTAAATATAATAAATAAATAATTTTATTTCATTAATACAAATACGCACAAAGAAATTTTTTTTGGGGGAGTTAATTAGGTTTAATGAATGTTTTATTTTTTTCAATAATAACAAAAGAAAAAGACGCTACGCGTTCAATGATTTGGAATTCCTCAAGATTATTTAAAGTTTCTAATATATTATTAGTTATATGTACAATTATAAAACACGTAAAAATTAAAGAAACCAAATATTATTTTAAATAAATGCCATTTAGATGTTGAATCAAAGTTAATAAGACTAGTTGGTAATTTGAATTATTTTTTTTATTTTTTTTTTTATTAAAAAATAAATTTTTCTCACAAATTATCCCATTAAAAGAAAATGAAAAATAAATGTAGTGAATTAAATAAATTAAATATAAATTCAAAACACAATAAATTTTACAAGAGAACTTCTGTTATCTCCCTATTTTATTATAATTGGAAAATAAAGACAATAGAAATATATTATTATTTAAAAATTTAAAAATTTAAAAATTTTGAAGTGATTATGCATGAAATTCAAAAATAGATTTTTTTTATTAGGGACGTAATAAAATCATATGGAATGACTGCAATTAACAGATTTCATGGATGCCATGAGACCTCAATAAAAATCTTTTTTGCAGAATCGAAGATCCAAAGATGAAATTTTTAAGGATGTTCATTGAGGCTGAAAATTATGCAACAAAAAAAATATATATTATCCCCTGCGGATGCCATTGTTCTTATTTTGTAATGATCGAATGGTGATACAAACTTTTGATAATGCCTCGTTATTTCTTAGGGTAATCAATGCAATTTTTTTTTATGATGATAAATAAAGTTGTAGTTCTCACTTCATAATGACCTCGTTTTTGGGAGCATTCATTCACTTTACTGCAACCGCTACACACACTAGAATTTTTAAATCCTCGATAAGATCGGAAGATATAAATATCAAAATAATTTTGATGCTTATTAATAGTGAGTTTTTTGCACGTGAAACTAATACTTTTAAATTTACTTTTATTTTCATAAAAACAGTGTTAATTACTGGTACTGCAAAAAATAAACAATGTGTAATTGCCATTGAAAAAGATACCAAAGAACCAATAAAACAAAAGATCTTTTTTTTATCAATTTAGGAAGGGAAAGCTCGTGTAAATTTATCTTTCGCTAACTTGTTAAGTAATTAGGCGAAAATTCCAATACACAATCAATCCATTCATCCGAGCAAAGAAATCGTCATTTTGTTTTTTCTATATATATATATGATCTGTTAATGTAAATTATTTCTAGATATGGTAAAGGTAGTCTTAATTTAAACTATGGAATTCATATTTTAATATGAACAATCGCATATTATCATAACTATCAGATTGTTCCATGTATGTTCTTAGATCCACTCTTTTTGATTTACACATGAGAATGTTGTTTACCTTTTCCATATGTTTCTCACATTATAATGGTGATTATTGAAATTAAAATATTGTTAATTAATTCATTATCTCTAAAAGATGAGATGTGATAAAAGTGTGGGGAAAATATGTAAAATATTTGGTACTAAAGAAACAAAAGGGGGTGAAGATAATGAAAGGAATAATAAATAATAAAAGTGATTTTTTCGATTTATATAATATATCCTTTCAAATCGTGATATTAATATTGTTCTAAATTTGTGTAAATAAAAAAATATAGATGATAATCACGCAACATTGTATATTGTTACTATTACGTCAAGTGATTATTGCATTTTATAGTATAAATTAAGGCAAATGTGGCTTAATATACAAATCCGAAGTGGCGGTTATTTTCGTTCTGTGGCGTGTTTATCAACCACAAGTTTAAAAAAATACTGGATCAAAAAGTTTGGGTTATTATTTATTTACTTGTTATCTAATTATATAAAAAAATATTTCCAAATAAAGAAAACAAGGAATCATTTTTATTTTTTTTGTATTAGTGGCGCATGATAATCGTGATACATATATAAAAATATGCGTGATATAATAACTTTAAAGTTTTATTGATACTAAATTAGGTGTAAATTGGAAAGACTTTCGAAAATTCGTGTTTTATTTTATAATAAATCTTTTTCCATAAAAACCATTCAATTATTAAACCATCTATTTAATTCATTCATTCATTCATTCATCCATTTGTTGATTCATTCAAACCTCCTTCCATTCTAAAGAATTAAGGAAACAAAACGGCCCTTTTCAAATCTTTGTAATAGAATTGATTTATTTGTACATACGCGTATGATAACTTATAGTGGTGTAAAAAAAGATAACAAAAAAAATCATTTTACTCGTACATTTATTTATTAGTGGCGTGTGTCCGGTAGGAATATATTCTTTCATTAAAAGAGTTTTTACTCAAAAAAGAAACAAAGAAATATAAATACCAATCATATTCACAAACTATTTAAATTATATCTTTTTTTTTATGATCAATTTAATTGATACGATGTTTTGTTAATCAAAAATTACAAAAGGAACAAAGCAAAAAAAATAACTTGTCGTTTATTTAACTAAGGACCATTTTTATTTTTCCTACAACTTAAAAAAAAATTTATTAGGATAAATTATTTTTAAACTTTAAATCATATCACATACAATAACAATCTCAATAATAAAAAAATGAATAATAGCAAAAAACTTGAAAAACAAGATTTTACAAATATAGAAAAATTGTATACATGTGTAACTTTACAACTTGTTAAAAGAAAAATTTTTCGGCACAATATATAAAATTGATTGAATTCAAATTTGGAATAAATCTTGAAATTTTCGGGCATTAATTATGTTGGTTTAATTATTGATCTAGTTGTTAATTGATTAAAACAAGTTGATTGGTTTTGTTTAAAATAGAAAAACTTGTATAGAAAGTGTATGATAATAAGATTAAAGAAAATCTTTTTTCCTTTAAAATAATTGATGAAATTCATTTTGGAAAATTATTATTATATACTCTATATATATGCACATGCGTTATTAATTATATAAATCAAGATGTCATTGCATTTTATTTAATTTGTTATAATTAAGGTTTTAAGCATTGGTCTATTGTGGCAATTAATAAAGTAATGTTAATATCTAATAGAATAACGGGATTGACGGCGTAAGACAATAATAATAAAAGGAGCAGAGAGGAATTGAAGAATAATTTAGTACTCTTTCAATGAAAAATCAAAATAGGTAATTGATTTTTATTGTAATCATTAGCTTATTAAAACTTGCCAGAAAAGGGTCATAGATGATGAAAGGTGAAAGAAGAATAAATATTAAAGAATAACTCATCGTGAATTTGCGATCCTGCTTTAATTGATGATATGATAATCTTTATTTTTGCTGGGCGTATCAAAATCTATATTAATATTAATATAGTGATCTATTTTATTACGTTTGTATTACATACGTTGACCGTTTTTTTGTTTTATTTTATTTTTTTTATAATTTTATACATATAAAAATAGCTCCTCTCTAAAAAAAAAAGTATTTACAGTTAATCGTCTATTTCGCAAGAGAGACTTTAACTAAGCCCTGGCTTATCAAACTTGTATGATTTTTTTACAGTGCCACGAAAGTATCTCACACTTCCGTATGAAGTATGAATATCACAGGTACAAGCACATCATCTTTAAACCTGGATATAAACCAATGAACATATCCACTTGGCTCATATTCCAGGAAGGTATCATTTTTTTTTTACAATGAAAAATTCAAAAGAATGAAGATCAAGACAAAAAGAGATTCCAATTGTCCAAATTTGTCACACGCCGCCAATTTAAAATTAATCGCTAAACTAATATAAGAATCTTTTGTTTACATGCTAAAAAAATAATATTATAAAAAATGCACTGGCCATTGATATTGTTTGTGTATTATTCAGCATATATTTATAATTATATCCATCCATTCATCCCATGTAATATAATAATAATGAATTAAAGAAATTCTTTTAATTGTCATGTAAATAATAAATAAATAATACTGTATGTATGGATGGATTGACTTGTTTTTTAAAAAAAGAAATTAAATGTCAAAAAAATATTCTACAATAGTAATAAATTTTTATTTACATAATGATAGTAATAACAATGCTGGTTAATAAACCTATTATTAAAATGTACGCGTGATTTTTTGTGGGGTAAATAGTATTGTTATTTTTGAGAATCAAAAAAAAAAATTATTAAGGCTTTTTTTTCTTTGCAGAAAATAGAAAATAATGAATACAATTTTACCATTGTGTTTTTATTTATATTTATATATTAAAATATATTTAATTGTTATGGATGTGAGTTTTAATATTGTATCACATTTTTTTGTTATACACAAAACTAATTCCTTAAAAAAAAAATACTACAATAAGATAAGCTCCAATATCA